TGTGTGTGTGGTTAACCTGTTAACTAATTCTGGACCCAGTATTAAACAGTCCTGAGCTGAAATGCCACCTGTGTTAGATTTATCAGATCTGACTGGGTGGATAAATAAAATCTATGTGCATGGTGTTAAAGGAATAGTCCACCCACAAATGAAAGATTTGAATCATTATGTAACTTTGGAGGCCATGTTCTGAAATGTTCCTCCAAAAACTAAAGAATTTTCAAGTTAAGATTTTGCTGTATTGTTATTGTTTGTTGTTCATTTATATAACCGCACTTTTCCAATGTGTGATAAACGTGTGCCTTCAGATGCATCACATGTGTATATAATAATGCAGACTGTGTGTTTAGAGATGAATTGTTGTGATATTTGCTGCTGCAGCACATATTGATAAGATATGAATGAGTGAGGAATGAATAGAAGAATATGGTGTTTGATGCTGTTAAAAACAGAACATAATCAGCAATGCCATACCAAAATGACTAGCATTTTTTCACGAGTCAGTCTTCAAATCAAAGTCAAGTCTCGAGTCGGATGTTATGATCCTTACAGACAACATAACCACAAAAAAAAACAACAACAACTTGCAACTTGACTTGGTCTCATGTCCAAGTTGTGTTCTTTTGTGACTTGTGTGCGACTCGAGTCCAAGTCACAGACTCAAGTTTCTATCTCTGCTGTTAGGTCACACAGTTTCACTGATGATCCATAACCAACCCAAAACCCAGGATAGAGTGGCTGAGTGAATGTGGTCTGGACTCTGTGGATGAGGCTCATTGTGTCAGAGACGCTGTAGAAGGACAGAGTTCCTGCACTGTGATCCACAAACACTCCTATTCTGCTGCTGATGGACTTTACAGGGAGATCAGTCTGGATGTTATTGTGAATGAATGAGTAACTGTCAGGAGAGCAGAACAAACTCCAGGACTGATCATTACATCCAAACCAACACTCATTACCCGATCCCTTCCTGCTGATGCTCTTATATGACACTGATATATCCACACCATTATCTCCACTCCACTCCAGCTCCCAGTAACAGCGTCCACACACACTCTCTCTACACAACTCCTGAAAATAATAATCAAATCTGTCTGGATGATCAGGATACGGCTGGGCTTTTTTAGTGCCTTTAGCCACTCTGTTTCCCTCAGACAGATGGAGGCATTTATTCACTGTGTTTGGATCCAGAGTGAGAAACTTGCAATCTGATGAAGATAAAATAAATAAGATTTATTTCATTTAGTTTACACAAACATATTCTTTCCAAATACATACTGTACATCTTTAGTTTTGATATGTTTCCAGTCTTTTTAATAACACTGTGTGAACTCAGGTTTGATGCCTTTTTTATAGTTTTTTTTTATTTTTATGAAAATCACGAGGTCGTATTAGTCTCTCTGTGTGTGTTTCATAGCGTCTTACATTGCAGAAGCTCTGGCCTGGTCTTCGATTCTTTGAGGGGAATAATTTCAATGTATTTTACTGTGGGCATAAAGACACATAATTAATGTGATTCCCATATGAAACATGAATCCCTTCCATATTCTTTTTAATAGTTTCTTCTGTGTGTGACACATTACCTCTGCCAGAAATCTGTTCAATCTCTTCTTTGCAGAAATCCTCCAGTTTTTCTTTCAGATTAGAAACTGATTTTCCCACATGACTGAAAGAGAAGTGAGGACTGATGGTGATGCTGGGCTGCTCTGTAGCTTCTGGAGGAACGGAGAAACTCTGCAGGAGAAAAACACAACAAGCTTGTTTTTATGCCAGTGTTTTTCTCAATTTCAAATCTTGTGTGATTGTTTTTCTATAATGCACTCTAATGCGCTCAGGCCTAATCTGATAACAATTTAAATACTCAAGTAATTGCCAGCACCACACACAGAAGCGATCGACTCCATCTATCATCTATGTTTAGATCATTTAATCTTATCTCACTGGTAGGTCTTTCAGGGTGGCCTGGGGAGGGGAGGTATCCAAAGCACATCAACTGGTCACTGGGGTTCCTCAGGGCTCAGTTCTTGGACCGCTCTTCTCTATATACACGACATCACTGGGTCCCATCATACAGGCACATGGCTTCTCCTACCATTGCTATGCTGATGACACACAGCTCTATCTCTCATTTCAACCAGATGATCCAACAGTAGCTGCACGGATCTCAGGCTGCCTGGCGGACATCTCGGCATGGATGAAAGAACATCACCTACAGCTCAACCTGGCAAAGACTGAGCTTCTTGTCTTCCCTGCCACTCCAACTCTACAGCATGATTTCACCATCCAGCTAGGTTCTTCTACAATTACCCCATCGACTTCGGTCAGAAATCTTGGTGTAATCTTTGATGACCAGCTGACCTTCAAAGACCACATTGCAAAGAATGCTTGATTTTGCAGGTTTGCATTGCACAAAATCAGAAAGATCAGGCCCTTTCTAACAGAGCATGCTGCACAACTTCTTGTCCAGGCCCTTGTCATCTCTAGGCTGGACTAAAAACTTTGTCTTTCTCTTTATTTATTCCTTCCCTTTCTAGCTTGTACTGATTTAAACAATGCCTGAAACTTGGTATTACAAGCACTTCCTGTATCTGTTTGCCTCTTTAAGAAGAATCGCTTGATGTATTCCCCAATTGTAAGTCGCTTTGGATAAAAGCGTCTGCAAAATGACTAAATGTAATTGTAAGATCATCAATCTGAATCCAATCCAGACGTAGTATTTGACAACAAAACAATTTTCTCAGCTTTTTGTTCAAAATGTTGCTTTTTGATGAAACTTACCCACATTCAAGTGCTGATTAAAAAATGCATGAGGCTAGAATAAACTTTTTGTTTTTAGCAGAGGCTCTGTTCTTTCTTTTGACATGTTGCATGTTCAGATATTCATACAACAAAATATCCAGAGGGCATGAAAGTTTTGTAAAAAACAAATGTTCAAAAATGCTGACTTAATTAAAAAAACAACAACAAATACATAATTAAAGGTTTTCCAGACACATTTAAAGAACACATGCGTCTTTCTTCTGCCTGTCAGATCTCTGTTACCGTCTTCTGCGTCTCCTTCAGAATCCTCTGTCAAAATTCAAATAAACACATCAGCAATATTACATAACCCAGTAATAAAATCCTCGTTGTTGAGCCCACCATCATTCAGTCACTGGCTGCTAATTAAATGTAATAAAGCACCATTATATGAGCCAGTGTGTGATACTGTCACGAGGGGAGGAGAGGAGAGGAGATGTGGATCGAAATGCAGCAGATTACTTTTATTCACAAACAAAACAAAGAAGATAATCCAAAAACACGGAACACAGAGCAAAAAACAGCTTTAACAACTTAAAGTGGAAGTGAAGCAGTCAGTCAAGTTTATATTATTTAGTAAACTGATTTCCACTTTAATACAAAAATATGTAACAAACACAATTAATGTAACCATTTTAAAGAAAAAATGATGTTTTGTTACAGCTTTTGCAGTACCACAGCGTGTGACGTCACAGGGTTGATAATATAAGCATTTCTTTACTTTTTGAGCACACGCATGTTTTGAAATGGAGGAAGACAAGCTTGAAAGGACTGTTGAGCCCATAATAAGTCCACTTGCTTGTGCATTTGAGCCGATATGGTGAAGGGAACGAGCAGAACTACTGCTACGGGTGGAAGAAGTCATGAACACACTGGATTGTCCCACTCTTTACCCCAATGATAATAATAATAATAATTATCATCATAATCATCGTCATCTAAGTTGCAGATACCTTAACTGTATATATATATATATATATGATGTGTGGATCTGTAGCATGTATTTCATGATTCCGTCTATAAATGTTGATCTGCATGTGTTGAAGGTTTAGGGTTATGGTTATAGAGTCACAGAACACCAGAGAGAATGCTGGAAATCCATTGATATCAGAGGGAATAGGGTAAAAACACAGCTGTCTGTGGTACAGTTGCTTTATTCTCACTTTTTTGACATTTTGTTCCGTGCCCTGATAACTTATGCAATATGCATCCTTTCCTCTCAAACACTAGCCAGTGGCTGAGACAGACATTATTTAGTAGCATGAAATGTGGTCGCATGTGTGAGTGATTTACTCAGATTGTAGAGGACTGTAAGCAGACTGATAAAAACAGTCCAAAGATGCAGTGCTGTTATCAGGAGTCTGAATGCTGCTCGACTGAACTGTTTTAATCTCATTGAGCTCATACCTGCTTCTCTGTCCTCTCTGCATCCGCTGTCACAGTTTCATGGTTCTTGTGTTCATCCATCAAACACGGATAACAGATGCAGCGCTGGTCGGTTCTGCAGTAGAGCTTCAGCGGTTCTTCATGTCTTGTGCAGATCATCTCTCCTAGTCGTCCAGTGGCATCAGTCAATTTGTGTTTCTTACCTCTAAAGAAACTCTCATGTTGTTGCAGGTGATTCTGACAGTAAGAGTTCAGACACAGCAGACAGGACTTGACAGCTTTGTGTTTGCTCCCAGTGCAGACGTCACACTCCACGTCTCCAGATCCAGAGACACAATCAGCAGCTTGGAGTCTGGTCTTCTTCAGTTTCTCCACCACTTCAGCCAGCATGGTGTTTCTAGCTAAAGCAGGCCTGGGACCGAAGGTCTGTCTGCACTGAGGGCAGCTGTAGACTCTCTTCTGATCCTCCTGATCCCAGCAGTCTGTAATACAACTCTTACAGTAACTGTGTCCACAGGGAATGGCCACCGGATCCTTCAGCAGATCCAGACACACTGAACACATGAACTCATCCTGAGCCACTAGAATACTGGCTTCTGCCATCGTGCACGGGTTTGTTGAAAGAGAGACAGAGTAACCGTCAAAAGCACTTCTCTTTCACTTTCTCTTATCAGAAACTGTGACGTAGTTCCTGGTTTTGTGTTTGAGAGACGTGTCGCAAAACTTCTCTTCCAAGGTCAAGTTCAAGGTCAAGGTCAGTTTATTTATATTGCACATTTAAAACCAGCTAGTGTATGCCAAAGTGCTGTACATATACAAATAAAGTAAATATAGAGATTAAGAGAATAAAAAGAAATGCCTCAAAAACACATAATCAATACAAAACACATTAACACACACAAACATACATTTCATCCAAAAGCCAAGGAATACAGATAAGTCTTCAGGCGGGATTTAAAAACAGGAAGGGAAGGCGCAGATCTAATGTCCAGAGGTATGCTGTTCCATAGTCGAGGACCGGCTGCAGAAAAAACCTGATCCCCCTTAAATTTCAAGCGAGAGCGAGGTATATGCAAGAAAAGTTTATCAGAGGATCTGAGAGAGCGAGAGGATTGCTGATAGCTGAGAAGTTCGGACAAGTATGATGGGGCTAGAATCTGGAGAGGTGCCATAAAAGACTTTCAAGATCAGAATGAATATTTATTAACATTAGTTACATGGTATCTCAGACGAGATTTATCAGGATATGAAGTCACATATTAATTAATAAAAATAAGTACTGCTCTACTTTCATTGTGTTTTATCCACCTTATTTTTCCTATAAGAGCGGGCGCAGCCATTTGTAAATTTAACAGCTTGTTTTGCTGCTTGATATTGCAAACTGGTGTTTCTTACCACATTATTGTAACGTATTATCTTAATTATGAACACACTGGTTTGTAGTACAAACAGTTTTCCCGTTTACTGGACTTATTCTTCTCGTTCTTTCCCTGCAGCGGCTAATGAACCGGAAGTCTCGCACATTCACAGAAAACGGCTTGCTTCCGCCTTGAAAAATAAGGTGGATACAGTAAAGAAGAATCCTTTTCATTACCCCTGACTGAGCTGAAGATTTGAAATCAAATTTACTGTGATGTTAGTGAGCTGTGGAGCGCCCCCTGCTGGAAGCAGATGCATGTGTTCTGTGAGCGCTGACGCAGAAAGCAGGTTTGGACAGACAGCAGAGGATCTCAGTCCAGAGTGAAGGAAGCATCTGGAGGAATGAGGCCTGCTTTGACCTACAGATCGCCGTCTCTTCATGAAGGAATGATATTATCAATGCAGAACTGTAGTCCTTAAGTCTGAGACAGAAATGTTTGATAGATGAGAAGTCATTTTACGAGTTCTGTAAACGCTGTATTTTTTCAGTTTCGCCTAACATTATTAGAATGTAGTTACAGAACAGGCTGCTTGTGAAGAGTATGTTGTGAACTGTAAGAGAAGCGAGTGCTTAGGGTTAGAGACCAAACAATGATCATATCACTTTGTTCATTTCCTCTGTAACTCAAAGTCTTGCTTCAGTATTTTTAGATGGCAAAGTGATTGTGAAACGATCTCGTTTGACTCCACGTGAGTGTAATAAAAGTTCACAGAGCTTGGAGGCTGTTGTCAATGTGGGTTTTGTTTTGGGCCTGGAGAAGCGTGAAGAAGCGGTCTTTCTCCGGCTGTAGAGGCTCAGTAACTTCATTAGGATAACGGGCAGCACATGCTAGAGCTCTGGATCAGATGCTTCATAACGTGACCCTTCTCTTCTCTTCAGTTCTCTTCATCAGGCTTCATGTCCAGCAGACGCAGACGGACAGATGTTTCCCCTGTACCTGCAGTCCAGGTGAGTTCCTCAGGCTTGCTCGTCACTGGCAGCAGATCACGGATCTGTCACTGGGCTTGATGTTCAACAATGACACAACTTTAGTCAAGGACAGACCCATAGCAAGCAGACCTAGTGATCAGTTGCCTTCTTCTTATATGTATATGAATATGAATTATATCTTATTTGAATTGCTGATGTCGTTATCTGAATGATGAAACCAGATGCTACCGTGACACACTGTTAAATGAATGATTTTAATATATTAGAATGATTTAAAGGATTTAAGCATTTGTTTAATTTTAATTTACGTTTCATTTCAAAATATTCTGTCAGTCATCACCATGTCTCGCTGATTTCACCTGCATCACTTTCTCAGTGCATGGAGATATTATTTTGACAGAGGAATCATTTCCTTGTCTTTTCTAAGCAGAAACGTACTTTACCATTGTTATGGTTTGTATTTCTTGGCTTGATCTTGACACGGTTACTTTAAGAGATCATACAATGATTTTGTGTTTGTTACTCTATTTAGCGAATCCTTTACTTTACATACTGTCTGATTGAACAGAATTATTTACATGATTCAGCTTGTGTGTAACATGTACAGTATGATTATTGAGTGACATTCATCATAATAATTCTTTGATTGCAGAGAAGTTCACTTCATAATCATACACTATTTAGTTGTACAGTACCTGTCATATATTCAAATAACGCTCAAAGCTAAAATCAATCTAAAGAGTTTACTGAAGACTAACAAAGAAATTAACAATTATAGGCATGCGAACACATACATAAATAAATACTTTGACATATAATCAGCTAAAGGTCTTTTCTAATGATAAGTTCTAATGATGGCAGCATTAATCCGATGGGTCGATCGTAATGTGATCTACAGATAAATGACAGATAGGGTCACACCTTTGAGTCACTTTGAGGCTAATTAGATAGTAACATTTATTGAGAAACACGTGGACAAAGAAAACAATCCATATCAGAGATACAGAGATACACGTTATGAAGGTGTGTGGCCTAATGGCCATAGTTAACAAAAACATACACATATATAGTCATTTGTAGTAAAGTGAAATAAAGTGTAATGTAAGTAACTATATGTGACACAACTAATGTGTGTGTGTGTGTGTGAGTGTGTGTGTGTGTGTGTGTGTGTGTGTGTGTGAGTGATATCTGACATTTGAACAGTCACCGAGGAACTGTTCTTGTTTATTTAGCTAATTATTTTTTCGTGCATGTATTGTGAATTGTCCATGTACAAAAATTAAATAAACTAACCATCAATTAATTGTGAAAACAAATAAAAATGTGTTTCCTTCACTAAAGTGTAGGGGATCAATAGAAAGAATTTGCAAATGCATCTTAGGTTTAAATTTTTTTAGGTAAAATAATTATTATAGCCATAATAATAATAATACAATTTTAAAAATAATAATAAAAAATAAAATAAAATCAATCTTCATCACTGGCCTCCCCATGTTTTTGACATTAATAAGCCAATAATAATCCAGTAGATGTAAGACAAACAACATGTCCATACATGACTTCAGTTTAGAGCTTATGATCGCTGGTTTCAGTAATATTGAACATCATGCTGTGTTTATGCTCATCTGCATGGCTTCAGATCAACAGAGGAGCCTTTAATGTGTCCAGCTCCATCTCAGAGAAAACAAGAGTCCATCGGCTCAGTCATCTGCTTTTGATTATGAATGGAAAATCCAGCCGTGGAAAAAATCGGCAATGTTGCATTAGAAAAAAATAAATAAATCACCAAATCCATGTCGATTGCTGCCATTCACATGTAAAGGCAAACTTCAGATATAGAGCATGTCAGAAAACATGTAGAAAGAGCTGCACAATTAGATGAAACTCCCATCAGTCTGACTGACAGGCCGCAGTAGTGAGGTACAAGGAAACCACAATCAAATATAATCAGACTGCATTTCTGCTACTCGTGTAACAGATGCCAGAATCACAAGAGAAGGACTTCAGCTAAACGAATCTGATCTTCAGCAGACCTCCGTCTCTAAAGCACATGCACAGCGGAAGAGACTGAGAAAACACTTGTTCGTTCTATGTAGGAAGTCTTTGATGTGGAGGGAAAAGCAATCTGATCAAAGCCATGCATTTCTCCACATTCAGAGAGAGATTGTTGTCTCTGCACCACCCGGCCAGGCGGCTCACCTCGCTCCTGTAGTTTGTCTCATCTCTGTTGCTAATGAGACCCACCACAGTCGTGTCATCCGCAAACTTAATGAAGAGGTTGGAGTTGTGTGACGGTGTGCAGTCGTGTGTGATTGATCACCAATGCCAGTTTTTATTGATTACATTCATAGAGTCACATCATCATTTGTGGCTCCCTGACCTGATTTCCCTTTGCTTTGTCTGCAAAATCACTTTATATGACCTATTTTCACACAACCAGAAGATTTAGAAGGTCTTTCGCAGTAGTTTCTAGCAATACGTTGATATTTTCCACACTTTCGACAGATGAAGGTCTTATCATAACAGCATTATGCAGTGCTGAATGTAAACAGCGCTCCAGAACTCTCAACATGCCATTAGGTCGTAAAGTGTAGCTGGTCTAGCCAGATAAAGGGGTCCTGGTTGCCATGGTAACCAGGGGCCTGGGCCTCGTTCACAGACATCTTGGCACCCAGTATGTTTATTGGGTGAGGGGTCTGTGAATGTTTGTTAATCTAATGAATAACTGATTTGTTAAATCTAATTAAAAATTGTGTGTCTGATTGATCCAAATGATACAAAAACATAAATCAAAATATGGGTGCAAGGGTTAAGACATAAAATAAAATAAAATAAAATAAAATAGAATTCAAATTAAAGGGCCATGTACAGTATATATATAGACAGACTGATGATAGATAGATAGATAGATAGATAGATAAAGCTCTGTCAGGTTGGATGGGGGCAGACACAGATTTTCAGGTTTCTCCAGAAATATGTGATTGTGTTCAAACCCAGGCTGTGTCTGGGCCACTCAAGGACATTCACAGAGTCGTCTATAAGCCACTCTTGCTGTGTGCTTAGAGTCATTGTCCTGTTGGAAGCTGAACCTTCTGCTCAGTCTGAGGTTCTGAATGCTCTGGACTGGGTTTTCATTAAGGCTATCTCTATATTTTGGTGCATTGAGCTTATCTTCTACTCTGACGAGTCCCTGAGTCCCTGCTGCTGAATAACAGCTCCACAGCATGAGGCTCCAGCACACTTTACTGTTGGG